ATCAAGAAATATATTATTATTATCTTTTTATTTTAAATTGTGATGTCAGATAATCTTTAGGTGAAATAGAGAAGAAGAAATTCACCTTAAGAAGGTGAATAGGACGTTGCTTAAAGATAAGAAAATAAATATAATAAAATTCAAAGGTATTTAATTATGAGTAAAAAGAAATGATATGTAAGCATATGTATAATAGCCAAAAATTAAACGTAATAGAGATGATTAAATGGAGGATCCTTAAGAAGATGATGATGAGAAATAATCTGATAAATTTGGAGGATTTGTTTTCACAAAAACTAAAAGTATGCTATTACTATTATTTAAATTAGACGATACAAAAAAGTAATACATATATGAGCCTAAAAAATAATAACCAGTTTAATAATAAAAGAAAGAGTATTATTAAAAAAAAGATTAGCCACCAAAAAAAAAGCCTGAAAAGAAAGGTAATAAATAGTAGTAATAATCTCAATAATAGTATAAATATAATATAAAAAATTAGAAAGGAAATATCAATTTAATAATTAGGTGAATTAGAAAAACTGTAACAGCATCTAATAAACTGTGGGATATCAATAACAAAGAATTAAGAAAATTAGGATTCTGAGTTAGTTCTACCTCCTGATTTTAATAAACCATTATCTATTCCAAGTTAACCAAAAGTAGCACCTCCACCAGGTTTAGTAGATAAAGATAAATCTTCTGATTTTGTGGATATTTTGAATTAATTGTAAGATAATGATTCAGATGGTTAAATGAATTATGATTAACATTTTTCATCTTCAGTTCTTACAAGAGGGGCATTTCCTATTTAGACTTAACTATAAAATTAATTTAGTAACTAAAAAGTGATTCCTAATAATAATCAAAATTTCTCAAATAATTAAGGAGATTAAAAAAATAAAGAAAAAAAGAAGAAAAATAAAAAAAAGAAACCTAAAAATAATAAAAATTAATAAGATATAGCTATGATAAAAAGTTAACCAGATTTTATGAATTAAAATTCTGCTGAAATTTTTGATTCTATAAAGTTGCTCCTTTTTCATTTCCTTAATAATAATAAATGGGTCGTAATAATTTACCAGATCCTTTAAATATTTCAGGTCCTACATTTACATCTCCATTAGGATTTCCTCCACCTGGAATGATGGGTTTAGGTCCATAAATTTCTCCATTTAATTCAAATCTTTTAGGAGCACCATAACCTTTAGGATTTCCTCCTGGACCTACTTTAGGAATGGAACCTTTAGATCCTACTTTTCCTATGGGACCTAATATAGGACCTATGAGAATTAATTAAATGATGCCTCCAAAATTTAATTAAATGCCAAATATGAATTAAATGTCAAATATGAGCTAAATGTCAAATATGAATTAAATGCCAAATATGAATTAAATGCATATGCCTATGACAATGACACCTCCTCCTTAAATCAAAAAGTAATCTAATAAAAATAATATGATGATGCAACCTCCTAATTAATTTGATTAATAAGTTTTTTGTCCTCCTATGATGCCTCCATCTATGGGAAATCAATTTCCAGATTTCCCTCCTACAATTCCTTTAGGTTAATATCCTCCTAATATAATGAATTCTGGACCTATTTTAGGAATGCCTCCAATGATGTAATTCGATGATGATTTTGATCAGAATTGGATGCCTAATGATGGAATGATATAAATGCCAACTCCCATTTAAGTTTTCTCAAATCAAAATTTCCCTAATCTATCCTAAGTCTAACATCCTGATTCATACATTCAAGAACCTGAAAAATTTATTACTTAAACGAAAAAAATTAATGATAATAAAAATGGAAATGATATCAATAATGATTAAATCAATTAAACAAATTAAAATACTGATGGATAACCAAGATAAAGAAAGTAATTATTCATCTATATTATTATTTTAGAAAATTAAAATTAAATTCTAAACCATTTTATCCAATAAATCCTTGACTGTAAGAATCCGTATTGTTTTATAAATATATAAAAATTAATATATTAAAACTATTTAATTAAAATTATATAAATATTAAACGATGGAATAACATAATTCAATTAGAGAAGCTGTAACTGTTTTTTAAATTTGACTAGCACTAAATGTAAGTTTTAGATACTAAGAATAAAATCAAAGAATTATCAGATTTTTTAGCATAGCAATTTGTTGAATATGAAAAATAATAGGAAAAAAAGAAATTCTAAAAAATTAGAAATGAATTGGCTAAGAAAAATTATAAAAATAGATTTTCAAGTTTTACAAATTCTTTACATCGCCCTCAGTTCATAAATTAAATCAAGGAAAACGATTTATTTGAATAATAATCAATTTTTATCAATAAAGATGTTCCATAATTAACAAATCTACAAAAATCATTATTGATATCACCTGATAGAAACTAAAATATCACACAGTAATTAAATTATTTATTTTAGTAATACATTAATTAGATAGACCAAGTAATAAACAGAGAAGTGAGTTTCCTCCTGTTAGAAAAAGATTCTTAAGCTAAAGAGAAATTAGTCGTATTGAATTTTGGGATAAGAATTTCAGTTAATTACAAGAAAAAGAATAGAAAGAAGTAAATAATTACTGATAAAACAAATAGAAAAGCAATATGTTATGTGGGAAAATTAAGAAGCAAATTACAGAATGAAGAGAAGTAAAATTATTCAAACCTGCAGATCAATGTTTAAGATACTTTGATAAAAATATTTCTCTAATATCTGAAAACCCAATAACTCAAAGACAATTAAGTAAAATCTTAAGTCTACCAAAAATTAAAGAAAAAAAAGTCTGGATCCCTAATAATAATTATTTTTGAGAATTTGAATTTAATCAATTAATTTTTTATGATGAACTCCTTCGTCTTTCCTAAATGATATAATCTAACTTTTGAACAATTTCATTTATATTTATTATTTCTTCCTTTTTTTATATGCTATCTTCTTATTCATCTCTTTTAGGTAAAATGAATTTTAATTTTTTTACTTTATCATCATTTTTTAGATATTTAATTTCTATTTACTAATTATCTTTTGTCTATACAGAAAGAATAGAAGATGTAGGAATTCGTTTATAATCTTTTGTCTAGCCAGATTAATAATTTTCCAATATAATCTGCACGAAATATTTTGCAAGTTTATGAATGGAAAATTTCGAATTCTTTTTGGTCAAATAGTAAAAATAAAAATCAAAATAATCTATTCCAATCACAACTTCATTTTAATATCCAGTATCTTCCAACTTAACTACTTTAAATTCTTTATAATTAAACATTGCAAGCTTTTTTTCTATCTAATAATTAACCTCTGCATATGATTAAGATACTGAAATAGAATCTTCATTTCCTGATTAATTATAAAGTTCTCTTACGCTTTCTACTGTAGCATTATTAATATCTTCAAATCTAAATTATATCAATAACCAATGAATTGGTAGTAAATTTATAGGAAATTAAAAATGCAAAGGTTCTTTGTAATCAATATTAACACAAGGAAATTTCAAAGTGAAATACCATTCATTTTTATTATATTAATTACCTGATCTTTTTTACAATTTATTATAAAAATCTTCTAATGTAGCATTTAAATCAACATTTAAATTATATAATATTTCAAATTTTGTATCTTAAATTAATAAAATTATAAAATTTGGAAGTTATTTTTTTGTAATTTCAATTGTAGATAAATCTATTCCAAAACTCATTTTTTCTACTACATCCAAAACTAAAATTTTATAGAATATTTTCTAAGCTAAATCCTGCTAAATCTTTTTACTTGACAAAGTATTTTCTTCTTCATATGATGAAATTTAATCTTCAATTATACTATTTATTTAAGAATTAGAGAAATAAAAATACTCTTCAAAACTACTTAATTGATAAGCTAAAGTAAAATTTGAATATTATAACAAATTTTAGTCGAAGTTAGAAGTTCTTTTAAATTCCTAAATTGCTAAAACAATTAATTCGCATGCCTTGATCAACTACAAAAGTCTTACTATAATTTGAGTTCAAATATTTAATTTGGATTTCTTTTTAACCACTCATGAAACTGTTTTTTATTATAGGTGTAAAAAGTGATTTTTTTGAACAAATCATAGAAAGTGTTCTAACATTTCTTTTATTATTTCTATATTTTTTTAAACTTTCATTTTCCTAAATTAATTAAGTAAAGGATTTATTGTTAGTCTCATATGATGTATTACTTCTTTTTAGAATTGGTTTTTGAAGTTACTCTTATTATTTTTTCTTTAAGTCATCATTCATTTCTTAAATATTTTAATCCTAAATCCTCTCATTCAAACTACTTTGATTATTTGTTCTAATGTTTCTTTATGCTTTGATATTAAACTCAAAATCCTAACTGTATTTTATAATATTAGTAACGTTTGAACTCTATTCTTGTTCTTAACATTGTTGATATAGATTCTCAAAATCATTCCAGCTAAAGTCTTTATTCTCTTTCTGGCTCGTTTAGAGTAGAATTTTAACTTCATTTTTCCATTTGATAGGCGTTTTGCATATTTTTAAATAAAAATTATCCATTATAATAATTATATTAATTGAAATCATTTTTATGTTTCATTTATCTCTAAATGATTTTTTTCTTATTTCCAATAATTTACCAAATTTTTAGTAAATATCAAAAAATTATTCATTAAATTTAGCTTATGTTCTTTTATCATTACTTTGTAAAGGAAAAAAACATAATTATTTAAAATTTCGAACTGAATTCTTATATATGAAATAAAATGTATTTTATTTCACATCTAAATAATACTTTTTGATTGATTTTAATTTAATTGTTTTATTTAATTTCTTTTAATTATTGAACATTTCTATCATATAATTTTTTATATATTAGAATATAGAAATAGGAGAAAATTAATTATTCTATTGATTTACTTTGATGATTTATATGTCAAAATAATCAATACCTAATATTACTTAAAATTGTTATTTTTTTTTTAATTACATGAGTGAAAAATCTTGATAAGAATATATTTAAGATAAATAATTTTTTGAGTCAATTTTAAATGTAGAATCTAATGGATTAAAAGATAATAACCCATCATCTACATAATTTTGTTATTTGAAATTAGAAAATTTATTACTTATGTCGATTAGTTCAGAAGGTTAAGTTTCAATATTATATTTTTTTTCCAAAACTAACCAATGTATTGGCAATTCATTAATTGGAGTATTTAAGCATAATAGAAGAATATTAGTATGAATGCAAGAGTATTTTAATCTTAAAAAATAATCTTTTAAAGATCTTTTATTTATTGGACCACTGTTTAATTATTCAAAAACATTCTATATAGTTGATGTATTTAAACATTTAATTTATTAATTAGATTGAGTTTGAGCATCTTCAATCAACAAGATGATATATTAAGGGAATAATTCATAAGTTTTTTTTATAGTTAATAGGTCTATACCAAATGAAAGTTCACAAGTAGAATTGACAACAATATCTACTTATTTACAACTTAATGTAGCTGGATAATCAATTGTAATTGTTTTATCTTCAATATCTTGAAAAGAATACTCAACCTAGGATGTGATGGCTCTCTTTTAAATAATTATTCTTATAATAATACTTCATCGCAGCTGACTCTTCTAGCAGCAATATTATCTTCATCTTTTTCATTGAAACTTTTAGTTCTTTAAATAGGTTTTCTGAAACGATCTTCATCCATTTCCATTTAATCTTCAAGAGTTTCTAATTAATATGCAAGAGTATAGTTTTTGTATTCATATAAATTTTAATCAAATCTTCTTTCAAGACTATATTCTTTTAATGCAAGTACAATAAATTCAATAGCTGTCATGTCTTTTTCAATAAATAAGACTTTTGATAGATTGGTTCTAAAATATTTAACTTAAATTGTTCGAAGATGTTATTTTCCAATTTGATTTATATTATATGTAATAATTGATTTTTATTTTCTTATTTGTTCAAAATTATTTACAATCGCTTAATTAGGTCGCTTAACAAATAATTTGGCTCCATGTTATTTTTAAAATTGACCAAAATCTTTTTTAAAAGCAGTTTAACTTCTCTTAATAGATCTCTTTAATTGTTAAGTAACTAGCTATTTGTTTTATTAAATTTACTGATCTGCTTGTTTGATATTTATTTGATCAACTTAATAATCATTTGATTATATTGAACTTTATTAAGAGCTTTAAATAGAAGCTCTTCTATGAAATAGTTATGTTTTAATTTGTTTTTGTTTTGAAAATTCAATTTCTTCTTCAGATTCTAAAATATTAAGAAAATTTAGAGTTTCAGTTTAAGTAAATTAAAATTATTCCAATATTTCTATTTTAGATTAGGGTGTAGAATACTTACTTTAGCTAAGGGTAACAATATTATTATCAATTTACAATATATTTTATTTGTAACATTCAAAATTCTTCATTCTTATTTTAACAATTATTTATGACTAAATATTCTACTCTAGAATAAACTACTAAATTAGCATTGATTATTAAATTTAAATAGAAATAATTTTTAATTTAATTTTTTGAAGTAAAATGTTTTCATAAGCTTTCAGAAGAGATCAATAACCTTAATAATAGTAACCATAACCATTAGGCATTTCATTCCATAAGTAA